GTTTAAAACCTTTTGCCCTGTTTGGCATGGGGGGGCGGGGCCTCGAATTACCTCATATTTGATGAACCTTCAGGGAGCTACGGCTGACAGATGTTTGATCCTAATCACACAGCTGGTTTAACAGTTGGATTTTGGTTTTCTAAGATAAAATATATTCCTCTCTCACAAAAGTTTCAGGAAATGTTAATCACACCACAGAGATTAGTTAATCTAAGTTTGAAACATGTCTGAGCAGACCCTGAAAACTCAGCTGTATGTTGGTTAGCCATGTCTGGGGCGACCTCCGACTACAGCCTGGATCTCCATGACATAGATCGAGTGCCTCCCCCGTCAAAGCGAGCCAAGTCGACCGCTTGAGATCCATGTCCTGGKGGAGGAGGTAAACCCACTAAGCCTGAATGCCTATTATCAGGCATACGAATGATTGATAAGTGCCTTCCAACCTACTAGAAGTTAGAGAAGGGACAGTCTGCAGACAGTATGGGACTTAAAGCCCCCACATACTCGGGCGTACTTCGGTCCGTGGAGGTCCGCGCAGACTCGAGGCCGACTCGATGTGGACTCGAAGCAGACATCCACCGGACTGGTCCGCGCAGAGATTAATTTTTTACGTCCGCGGTGCGCACAATGGCATGTGCTGTTCTGGGTGCAACACCAAGCTGTTAAAGTTGAGAATCTGTCATTTGTGGACGAAATGGAGTCAAATCTTGAAAATGGTCTCATGGAGGAGATTAGTAAACTTCATGACGCAGTGAGCAACAAATCTGTGGGATCAGATCCTGGGTAAGGTAGTTCTTTTAATTTTTTCTTTTATCGTTTTAAAGCTAAAGTTCAAACTATCTCTTCCTCCTGATCCTTGACATCATGACTGAAATTGCGAGAAATTAAAGAATTCGTCAGGCGGTCAGTACGCTCGAGTATGAACTCTCAACCGTCCGYGGACATTACGCGTGGAGTCCACGTGGCTCATGGACTGCGCAAAGTACGCCTGAGTATGTGGGAGCCTTTATAACCTCTGAAAACGGCCATTTAATGGACTGACAACGTTTAATTCAAAGCAGGTGGTTCCTGAATGCATGAACTGAAAAGAATTTATCTGAAACTGAAAAAATAATTGAAACTGAAAAGACAAGATGTTTGAAACTTTTCCAGTTTCTAATATGTTATTTTCATTTTCAGATCATTTTTTCAGTTTCAAAAACTGTTTATTTTTAACTAAACCTATGGCCCCAATTTAGCTCTTAAGGMCTCGCCCAGAGGACCAATATTTTTAGTTTTTTTTTTTTTTTTTTATCTGGACTATTAAGAGCAGGGCACTGTGCAACAATAAATTACAAGTTCAAATCATGGATCCAAATTCAAAACAGATCCAGATTCAAACTCAAGTAGTTTATTCAAATCTGCTCAAACAACAAGGCGATCACACTAGTTACATTACAAACTACTGAAGAGTAAAACATTTTCTGAGATAAAAGATTTCATTGAAACTTCACTTTGTTGCAATCTCCAGTCCTGACCAGCTCTTTGGTGGCAGTAGACTGGACCAAGTCCCTTTGAACAGGAAGAAACCACAAACAGAACCAGGCTCATAGCTTTTGACCCATTTCCAGAAATTCTAGGAACCATAAATAAACCTGCAGARTTCTGATGGAAAAATATGGAAGAAGAAAAACTTAAAGAACTCCATAAGTGAAGTGAAAAGCTGATCACCAACTTCAACTCCAACTAATGGCCATAAAGAACAGCTTAACAAAGGATATTAATAATAAATAGTCTTTTTTAAGGTGTTACTTTGAATTCTTTATAACTGGTGGTTTTGTTCTTTTAATGTTGAATGCTCTAATTGAAYAATTGATGCATTTAAGACAACTTTATTGTATGAAAAAGTTGCTTTCTTTAGTAATCTTTGTATTTTAAATACCAGTATGTACAGAAGTTTTTTTTCTTTTCGAGTGGTTTGTATGTATTAATATTCAGTTTAAGCTGCTGACTCCCTTCTTCAGTCATCAGAGCCAGAGTGAAGGAGGTGAGGAATCGTGGTCTGGAGCCCACAGCAGTGGTGGACGTGAAGGAGGTGCTCAAATCCTCTCTGGTCAACATTCCTAAGGAGACACAAACACTGTATTATTCATCTTCCTGCCTGTGTCCCCCTCTCGCTCCTGGGGAGGAGTACCTTATCATGGGCTATGAGAACGAGGAGAGGTCCAGGTATGACCAGCAGAAGTTCTTGTAACAAGCTTTGCTTTTAAATGCCTTTTTATCCCATGTTAAAAGTAGTTATAAAGCAATGTAGATTGTGTATAAATGTTGTTGAATTATGTTTGTGGCTGCAGGTTGCTCCTGATTGATGGCTCCATTGCTCAGAAGTGGAAAGACAGAATGCGAAAGAAAGTCAAGGTGTGTCAATAATTCACACAAATAACAATTTTTAAAAATGCAATTTTTTCTCTCCATGCTTACTGGACATGTCTTCTCTTTTTACAGAAGGTAGCGTGGGGAAAAGTAGTATTTACTCAGCCACATATTGTGCAAGTTGTCCCACTTCAAAAGATGAGAGAGGCCTGTAACTGACATTCAAATATCCAGTGATTCAAAGTGTTTATTGTCATATACAGGTTAGAGTTTCAGATGAAAACTTGCTTCTCTGAGCAATGAAATTCTTMATTTGCCGACCACTGAATGCCAGGAGACAACCACACTAAAGGAATAAGCACTTAAAGGACACTAAGAAGGTAATAAGGGATAAAGTATAAAAAATGACCACACTTGGAACAAAAAGGAGACCTAACTACAGATAAAAACATCAGAAGGGAACAATACAATCAGTGTTTAAAGTGTAAATGTACAAAGTGCAGCAGGTAACAGGCTGAAATGTGCACATGTGCAGTAACAATAGTCAGAAGAAYGTCACGTTCAGCTGTTTAACAGTCTGATGGCWCTTGGGAAAGATGAGTTCTTGTATCTGGAGGTTCTGCATGTCACATTCCTGTACCTCTGGAGGGCAGAGGTGGGAACAGTCCATGCTGGGGGTGGGTTGGGTCTTTGATGATTGAGGCTGCTCTCCTGAGGACCCTGCAGTGGTAGATGCTCTGCAGAGAGGCAGTGAAGCCCTGTGATCTTCTCAGCAGCTGTTACCACTCTCTGCAGGTGTTTGGTCCATGGTGGAGGTGCTGCTGTACCAGGCTGTGATGCAGCTGCTCAACATGCTCCTACAGTGCAGCTGTAAAAGTTCCTGAGGATCTTAGGCGACATGCCAAACTTCCTTAGTCTCCTCAGGAAGTAATGTCTCTGTTGAGCCTGCTCAACAGAGACA